CGGAATGCAGCCAGACAAACATTGACCGTGCTTAACATCGACCGTATTAACTCTGTGTTGTCCTTCTGGAGCCTAGGCAACGCGTAGATGGCATTCATGTGGTGGGCGAAAACGAGGCGAGGATTGTTGTACCTCTTGATCATCAATCCCCAAGCCACCGAATAGTTCCCTTCCGTGACTCCATCTGAAGGATGTCATTATCGCGGTCCCTCGGCAGCGACTCCTTGAGGAAGTGCAACGTTGTTGTGGCGGGAGAGAGGGCAACTGTGTTTGCGGCAAATATGGAGTAGTTTATATTTTTCAATGGCTAGCACACACCCGAAATAGCTCCCCAGGAATCTATTTCACTTAATACATCAACAAATTAATATTTAACAATATTTAAATTTTTTTATTTGGAAAAAAGGATAGCGTCATCTGCGTATATTTAGAGTTGAATGTCCTTATGTCTACTTAAAATACAATTGAGTTTATCAAAAGCGATAATAAAAAGAACTACTAAAAGGGTTATAGAGACGCTAATATAGAGAAGTGATTTTTCGTGGAAAGAGCGTTAGACGCGAAGTGTTAAATACGCAACAAGGCGTCCATAGTGCTATGCTTTTGTTTAAATGCAACTTGGTTTTGCGAGATCAGGTTATTTCGAGTGATAACCCACATAAGTCGGCGGGAAATTATTATTTCCATTTTTTTCATAACCAGGAAAGGAGGGTGGTTGTGCGGTAACTGTTCATTTCGGCCGGAGGTTTAATTGCTTTGGGAATTGGCATGATAGTGGCTGATCTCCAACTACGTGGGTATTTTCCTGAGCTAAAAATGGCATTATATATTTCTAAAAGCCTGATTTTAAGAGAGAGTGGCATTTCTTTAAGCATTGGGTAGGATATCCGGTCATCCCCTGGGGTTTTACCCTTTGAATGCATGTTCGATTTAGGCTAATGTGAAGGTTTTTTTCTAACCATTTTGCAGGTGATGACAGAGCTGTCGGAAAATAGGACTGCGATAAGTAGGCTTCTTTTTGGTGTACGTATTCGGCTGAAAAGTTACTGTCAGTCAAATAGTTTGACCAAAGATGCCCGAGCTCTTCGGCGATATCCTGAGAACCTTTTACGACACCTGAACCGCACTTCTAAAATTGAAATGGCTGTGGTGGTACACCGGGCAGTCTCTTTATGTCGCGCCAAACTTTTTTCTAAAAAGTTAAAGAGGATATCCTGGAGGTAAAATTTTTAAGACAAGTTTGTTTGGCAACAAGTACAGATTTTTTAAAAACTGCATTGTCACTGGTGTCGGACATTCTGGCCTTGTGAACAGATGTTGGTTTTCATTTCGAAGCCTCTGAAGGCTGTAATTCCACCACAGAACTGCAGCCTTGCGCACAACCCGTTTGGTTAGTGGAATACTACAGTTGGCTGCGGACCTAATTCCTTAAGTTATTTGTGCAACTTGGTGGCTCAGACAACCGGACTTCCAATCCATAGCTGTTTGTTCGCACATAGATCTATACGCATTTCAATTGGCTAAATCTATTTTAAGTTTAGGTTGGGGAGGGGTAGGGGCAGTACTAAAATTATGGAAAAATCAATAGACATGGGAAAATGATACGGAGTGATCAAGGAAAGGTTAACGTGGGTAAGGGAATTTTGGGTGGATGGAGGTGTGGGTCCTACTTCAAAAGAGCCGTCCTCTACGATGCGAATTCTAAGCCAAAGACCGACATTGACAAAGCCTTATCTCAGATTGCTGCCTACAATATTCTAGAAAATTAAGCGTTTTTACAATAAACTCAGGTATTGGATCCTACATATAAGCTACCGAGCAAGACGCACTTACGAGATGTGCTAATGTTAAATTATTTCAACGAAACCTCTGCCCAGTTATAAGTAATACTTGAATATGTTTCGCATATAAAAATTACACGTGACTTGTGGTCAGCAAGTTTGTTTCGCGCAAACCAAAAACGTTATCAGCAAAATCTTGCACAAACAAATATCAACCACAAAGAGAAAATAAAAAACCCAACAACACCAAACACACGAAAACCTCTAATACGGGCTCAAGCCCTTCATTAGCTATCATGACGGACCCACCAGACATTTTCAAAATCTCATCAAAATCGTATCATTCCCAATTAGGCGACCCGAAATTTATAATAATTTAAAGAAAGGACAACGAGTCGTTTGAAAAAATATCACCATTTCACCGTGGACTTTGCCTGTGGAGGAGAAGTTGACGGATGCAAAAAAATAAGAGACGGAACATTGTTAATAAAAACTAAAAATGAATTGCAAGCCAGAAAGCTCCTTAAACTTACAAAAAACGCAGAAATGGAAGTGACAACAAGCGAACATAAAACATTGAACTTCTCTAAGGGAGTTATTTATTGTAACGACCTTAGATATATTGACGAAGACACTATCTTACAAGAACTAAAACCACAAAAAGTAAGCGAAGTTAAAAAAATAATGAAACGACAAAACCCCAACTCTGATAGCAGCAACACCACTCTAGTTGAAACCGGATTAATCATTATCACATTTGAAACACACAAACTCCCAGAAATATTGCGAATTGGATACGAAACAGTGCGTGTACGAGAGTATATCCCACTTCCCCTTCGATGCAGAAAATGCCTCCGCTTTGGTCACCCAGCACCAATATGCAAAAGCTCCGAAACCTGCACTAGTTGCTCAGAAACAAAACACACAAACGACAATGAAACATGCAAAAACGAAAAAAAAATGCCTAAACTGCACAAACAACCCAGAACTTGACCATCAGCACAGCCCAATCGACCGCAAATGCCCCACTTTCATAAAAAACCAAGAATTAACAGCTATTAAAACCACACAAAAATTTTATCACAAAACTGCCCAACGTATTTACTTCGAACGACACGGATTTCAATCGAGGAACACCTATGCCAAAACACTTGCAAACGCCACAACTCAGAGGACAACTAACCCTCAATCATCGAATGCTAATATAAATACAAACCCAAACACAACACAACCGCAACATAAAAAAAAACACATCAGGAACCAAAAACTTCTCCATTAAATACGACAGCTACCGGCTTAGTCACAACAACTCTACCATCAGGCCAAACTCTTCAACGCCATCACCACCACGATTACGACAAACTAGAAGACATGGTTATTGACTGCATCACACATACCAAAAAACCAACCACATCGTACTCGTCACAACTCACAGAAGACTCACTAAAAATAAAAATCTTCCATAAAGATAAGTCTTAAAACCTAACAACTAATCTTAAAGCATCTAAGACTAAGACCAAAGCGCTAAATAAAATCCAACTCACTAACAACAGCGACATCGAATCTATATAGAACCTTAAACTCAAACCGTTAACACTACCAATAAAGTTAAGTTACAAACTTTCATCTTCACTAAAATGTCATTAACAATAATTCAATGGAACATACACGGCTATAGAAACAACTACACAGAACTTCAAATGTTAATTAAATCCCAGAATCCACACATTTTAGCCCTTCAAGAAACCCACATATCAAACCTATCCTCACTCCCCTCCCCAATAAATTATACACTTCACACAACCACAACGGCTTTGGAGGCGCTGCCTTTCTCATCCACAACTCCATCTCCCAAAACCCCATGTCTCTGAACTCCGACTTCGATGCCGTCGGAGTTAACATCCACTCTAAATACAAATTCAACATAATTTCTACATACATCTCACCTTCAAAATCATTTAATACCAATAACCTCGAAAATACCTTTGCTTCGCACAATCTGCACACACTTGTCCTAGGGGACTTTAACAGCTGGCACCCCTACTGGGGTTCGCCTAAACATAATGCCAGAGGGAAAATAATAGCGGACTACCTAGACAAATCAGACTTCATCCTCCTTAACGACAAATCCCCTACCCACTTCTCCACCCTCAACACCTTCACTCACATCGACCTATCCTTCGCATCATCGCCATTAGCACCCGAAATACATTGGGAAGTGTTGGACGACCTATATGGCAGTGACCACTTCCCTATTCTTTTATCCTTGTTTAACAACCCATCCTCTCCCTCCTTCTTATCCAAACCTTCCTTCAAACTAAGATCCGCAGACTGGGAACTCTTCAAAGAAAAATCCCTCCTCCTCAACACTTCAATCCATCCCAGCAGCAATGTCAACCGCGAAGCAGCGCTAATAAAAAAAATAATCACTCAAAGCGTCCATTTCTCAATTCCCCAAAACACAACCTTCCCCCTCCATCGCACAGTTCCATGGTGGAACAAGGAACTAACTCTTCTTAAACGGGACAAATCCATGAAATGGAGAACCCTAAAAAGAGAAGTTACTTCCTTCAACACCATGGAATACAAAAAGCAAACACAAAACTCAAAAGAGCCGTCAGAATAGCCAAAAGAGCTGATATCCGTAGTTTTACTACGGATATCAATCAATTTTCTGACCCCACGAAAATGTGGGCAAACATCAAACGACTTTGCGGCATGCACCCACAAAAAAATATTCACTGTGTTGGAGCAGTAGATTAAGTTTTATTGTTAGTTTTAAGGAAAGATGAAAAGAAATAATTATTTGAATACGCAGGCAAAATGTAAACAAACCACCTTAAAAACCAATGTACAAAAGCTTATCAGTTTCACTCAATCTTGAGCACAGCCGAGTTGTTGTGATCTAACTGATAAGCTTTTCAGTTCGTGGCTATGCGAAGTGTTATGCTGCTCTCGGGAGAACATGAACCGATCGAACCTCGAAGCAGCTGGCAGCAATAAACTTTGGAACCAACTTCGTTTCGTTTGTCTCGTTTTTTTTGGAAATTCCCCAGCCGCTAGTCGCAAGTCTTTTTTTTGTTTAAATTTTTAAAGTAATTTTTCCGGGAAAACTCTCCCGGATTTTCATGGCGCCCGAACAGGGACTACGGCTAGTTTTGTTATTAATTTTCGCGTCGGAAAAACAATCGAAAAACAGGGCACCTCTCGTCGTCTCGGCATCTGTTTAGTTTTTTTAAAGTTGTTGGCGAAAATTCTAGCTGGTGGAATTCGGCGAAGCAGTGAAGTGTTGGCGAAAGCAGTTGGATACGGAAGGAAAGTGCTTGGAAAATTATGCCTAACAACAACCAGGTATTCAGTGCCAAAAATTAAAATTTGTGAGCACTCCACCTTATGTGTGTATGCGTGCATTTTACATGGTATTAATTCTTGGAACCTTTATATTAGAAATATTATTACACCCCAAATATACCCTAACTTCCGAATAATAAAATAAAAAGTGAACTGCCTTTGACAAAACTTACGGTGTTTTAAATTTTGCGAGAATTTGAAAATTTTATGTGCGTTATATACATACGCTGCAACTTAAAAAGTACAGCTATATCTACATACATATGTACAAACATACCAGCGTTTCGCCGCCAATTTCGATTCCCTTTTGTGCATTTGCAGAGCAGTTATTTGTCTGCTATATATAAGTGTCAGTGGCTTCTATGCTGTACATATGTAAAACAATACATCGGTTAATTTTTAGCGCAATTTGCAGCGGCAGTGGTTTTCAAACTGTATATAGCCAAAAGTTCCTACAAAACTCGGCAGTGAATTTAAGCCCTGCTCACAGTTTTATGTTTATATGTACATATTTGCCTGCATATTAATTCGGTAAATATTCAAAGATTCGGCCTGGAGAAAAAGTTTAATACATTTGTTGGTTTTTTTTTGCCGGTGTTTGTGGGCATCTTTAACCCGTATGGGATCCACTTAAATAGTTTGGACAATTTATTTGTCAAATGAAATTCAACATTTGTGCATTTTTCGGCTTTGGTTAAACGGAAAATACACATACAAACGTATTTTGTGCATTTTGGTGGTGCTTCTGCGCAAATTTAACCCCTTATCCAACCCAATAAATTTTTTTTGGAGAAATTAAATTTGTTTAATTTTTAAAATTTAAAATTTAGATATTGTTGGAAAATTATTAAGGAAGCATTTGAGCATTTTGGAAATAAATTTATTCAACCCTTGTGTCCGACTGGTTTTACTTGGAGTATTTTATTTTTTTTATATTAACCTAAAATGTCTGAGAAAGAAAAGGAATCATCGTCAAAGCCTAGTGCTAAACTAATAGTGGCTATGCAAAAACACGGCAGGGTAATGAGTGACATTCAACGTATGAGAACGTCATTCGAGGAAAAAACCATTTCATTCGATAGGTTTCAAATGGAATACCGAATGCAACTTCTCGAATCATATTGCGAGAAATTGATGGATATTCAAGGAGATATCGATGTACTAAATCCAGTGAATGATTTAAGAGCGTCTGTTGAGGAGATGTGCATAATTACAAAAGCGTTATATCGGTCCGCAATGAGAGAATGCGAGCCTCAGAGACTTAGTCAAAGTGATATAGGTGGTTATCGTCATTCGTCTCAGTTGCCAAAAATGAATCTACCGAAATTTAGTGGAAAACATTCCGACTATAAAAATTTTATAAGTCTTTTTGAGAGTTTAGTTCATAACGACCCATCTCTAACAAACATAGAGAAATTTAACCATTTGCTAACATGTCTAACAGATGATGCATTAGGTACTGTGAAAGCTTTTCAAATTTCGGATTTAAATTATGAGAAGGCATTGGCTAGTCTAAAAAACGTGTACGATAATAAATGTTTGATCTTTTTTGACACGATTTCTCAGCTGTTTGACCTCCCGCAAGTATCAAAACCCTCTTCATCAGGCTTGAGGTCTCTTATAGATGAAATATCGGCCCTCTACGCATCGTTACAGTCCTTGGGTAGTGAAAAGGAAATAAACAACGCAATTTTTATTCACATAGCAATGTCCAAAGTAGATCACACAACAAAATCCAGATTTGAGGAACAGCTAGATTATAATACGCTGCCTACATGGTCTGATTGTGCGACTCTGTTGAATCGGCGATATCAACATTTAGCTGCTGAAGAGTCAACCAAAAGTAAAGGGAAGCCTAACCAAGGTTCCAATAGAGGATATTCCAAATCTTCCTTCTCATGCACACAAACAGATCGCAGACCTGAATCAAAATGTCGATATTGCTCAGCGACAAACCATAGTTTAGGCAGTTGTCAACCTTTCATGGCTTTATCAGTGATCCAACGGTTCGATTTTACGAAACACAATAGGTTGTGTATTAATTGTCTGAATCCAGGTCATCCAGTCAAGAAGTGCAAAGCAGTAAAGTGACGCGTTTGCTCCAAACCTCATAACACACTTTTTCACAGATACGGGGTAGAGCAGCAACCAACTTCTTCGGGATCGCTTCCTCAAACGCAAGCCCAAGCACATTCAGTAGCATTTGATCATCCCAATCAAGCCCATTCTTGTCATGTTGCAAGTAGTGACCAAGTTATTCTTGCTACGGCTGTCGTTAAGGTACGGGATAGATTTGGACAGTTTCAATTCGCACGAGCTCTGTTAGACTCAGGGTCTCAAATAAACTTTATGGCCGAGGACTTAGCACAGCGTTTGCGGTTACGCAGGAAAGAATCCTATTTGAATATGACTACTGTAGGAAAGAACGACTCGGTAGTACGGCACAAAGTCCACGCGTCGATTCATTCTCGCGTCAATGCTCATAGTTTCGCTACTGATTTTTGGGTATTAAGCTCCATTTCCTCATATCAACCAGATAATGAAGTCAATTGTGCACAGTGGAAAATTCCAGCAAATATTGAATTAGCAGACCCTCGTTTTCACAAGCCTGCAAAAGTAGGCTTACTAATTGGGGCAGAACCCTTTTTCGAACTTCTCAGCGTAGGTCAAATAAAATTGGGTTCAGAACATCCTTCAATACAGAAAACTTTATTAGGATGGATTGTTTCGGGAAAGTACACTCAAGGCGTATCGAATAATGCTCAAGTATGCAGCGTCACTGGTAGTGTAAATATAAGTTCTCTCGACTCTCTTGTAGAACGTTTTTGGGAATTGGAACACGTCCCGGAGAGATCGAAGGCTGTGTATACAGCTGAACAAGTTGCTTGCGAGCAGCACTTTGAGAAAACAGTACACAGGCTTTCGTCAGGTCGTTTTGAGGTTAAGTTGCCATTTAAGACAAATCCAAGTGTTTTAGGATTATCCTTCGAAACGGCAAGGCGCAGATTTCTTGCGTTGGAGCGCAAGCTTGCAAATAATCGCGAGTTACATGACATGTATCAAAGTTTATGAAGAGTATCTTAACCTTGGGCATATGTCGCTGCTTCCAACACCTCCTCGGACAACACTATTACATTCCACATCAATGTGTCCTGAGACCTGATAGTAGCACCACAAAGTTGCGAGTTGTTTTTGACGCTTCAAGTAAACGTCACCTCGATCTCATTAAATGAGACTCTAATGGTGGGTGCAACGATTCGGGAGCTTTACCTATTTTGGCAAGATTTCGATTACACAAATATGCCTTGACTGCTGATATCTCGAAGATGTATAGGCAAGTTAACATTGCCAATGAAGACAGAAATTTCCAACTTATCGTGTGGAGGGAAAAGTCGACGCAAGCTCTCCAAACCTATCGCCTCAACACTGTCACTTATGGAACAGCCTCTGCTCCATTTTTGGCCATTCGTTGCCTCTTTGAACTGGCAAAAATTTACTCTGAGTCACATCCTGTCGCATCAGAGGTAATTTCAAGTGATTTCTATGTAGACGATATGCTCACAGGAGCAAACAGTTTAGAAGAGTTGGAAGTCATTCGCAAAGAAGTGACCAAGGTGTTAGAGTTCGGGGTTTCCAGCTGGCCAAATGGGCAACAAATCACCCAAGTTTGATGACTAACCAGGGATCAGAAAAATCGCTTATGTTCAACACTTCCGAGTCTGTGAAAACGCTTGGGATGAGATGGAACCCTCAGAGTGATGCCTTTCATTATAGTTTGGAGGATTCGTTTCAGTCCCTACCACCAACTAAACGCAACATTTTATCAGTCACAGCCCGTTTGTTTGATCCCTTGGGATTGTTGTGCCCGCTGATCACGAGAGCTAAAATCTTGCTTCAGGAACTGTGGCGACAAAAACTGGATTGGGACGAATCGGTTCCCATGAATTTACATACCAGTTGGAATGAATTCAAACAGAATTTACTACAAATTGACCGGATATCCATTCCTCGATACATTTGTTTGTCTTCCTATGACAGTGTTCAAATCCACGGATTTGCTGATGCATCGAGCCACGCCAATGGCTGTTGCATTTATATTCGTACCGTGGCTGGGACAAATAGTTTGTCAAGACTGCTGACCGCCAAGTCGAGAGTGTCCCCCCTCAAAACCAAATCAATTCCAAGGCTCGAACTGTGGGCAGCGCATCTGCTTGCCAAATTATGGACTCAAGTATTTCCCTTGCTTAACAAATTAGAGTTTGAAAGCATCAACTTCTGGTCGGATTCCCAAGTCACTTTATACTGGCTAAAGAGGGATCCGTCCACTCTAGCTACATTTGTTGCGAATAGAGTTTCTGAAATTCAAGAGCTCTCAGAGAATGTTGTCTGGCGGCATGTGCCCACGGTAGATAATCCAGCCGATTTAGTATCACGTGGAACAGATATAGAGGGTTTAAAATGTACGCTATGGGAAAATGGACCAGAATTTTTACTCCGACATCCTAACGAGTGGCCTCGTTCTCATCAGACTGAGCTTTCACCGGAGTTACAGTTGTCCGAGAACAAGAAAAGCGTGGCAGTATGTTCCGTCACAACAAATCAACCGAATGTCTTCATTGAGCTTGTTAGAAGATGTTCGTCATTCAATAAACTCCTGCGGATTATCGCATATGTAAATCGGTTTATTCAAGGGAAGAAAAATAATCGCGATAAGGTTATTTCGGCTAACGAACTTAAGTTATCGTTTCTAAGAATGGTCCAAGTATATCAAGGAGCTGATTTTGGTTTAGAATACGTCAAGCTAGAGAAATCTGAATCTTTAAGCCCACAGCTTCAACGTCTAAATCCTTTCTTACACACTAGCGAACTAGAAGGCGTAACACTTCAATTAATCCGAGTTGGGGGAAGGTTGTTAAATGCACAAATTCCGTATGATGCCAAATTTCCAATATTACTGTCCTCAAAATCAGAATTTTTTTCGCTATTTCTTCGAGACCTGAATCGTACTCATTACCATGCTGGCGCCAAGGTGATGGTATCACTTTCGAGACAGCAGATATGGCTAATCAATGCGCGAGAAGCGTGCACGAAAGTTGTCCGTAGCTGTGTCCACTGTTTCAAATACAAACCAGTGCTAATGGGTCAGATAATGGGCAATTTGCCAGCCGATAGGGTCAAGTTAGCACGCCCCTTTTTGGTTTGCGGGGTAGATTTTTGCGGACCATTTTATGTGTCACTAAAGATCCGCGGTAAACCTCCTATCAAGACTTATGTTGCCGTTTTCGTGTGTTTTTCGTCAAAGGCTGTTCACCTTGAGCTAGATGTAGATTTATCCACTGACAGCTTCTTATCTGTTTTTAAAAGGTTCGTCGGGAGGAGAGGGCTGCCGCAGAAGATGTACAGCGACAACGCCACGAACTTCATGGGAGCGAGCAACGTGCTCAAGGATCTGAGCGCAGCGTTTCACCGCAGTCAGGAACAGTTGAGAGGATACGCGGCTCACGATGGAGAGGCCCTGACTCCAGGACATCTGCTTATCGGACAGCCTCTAATCACGCTGCCGCAAGAGTCCGGCACAGGCGGAATCTCCAGCAAGGCCAGTTGCGGATATTTGAGGCGGTGGCGAATGCTGTCCGATCTCAAGCAGCAGTTTTGGGCCAGCTGGTCCAAGGACTACATCGCCAGCCTGCAGCATCGCAACAAGTGGTGCGTCGAGGGCCGCGATCTGGAGGTCGGGTGTCTGGTGCTCGTGCACGAGGACAACATGCCCCCGCAAAGGTGGCTTACAGGCCGCGTGGTGGCAATAACAGTCGGTGAGGACGGAAGAGTGCGTGTGGCGGAGGTACGGACGTCAGGAGGCGTCATCAAGCGCGCCATCCACAAGCTGGCATTGCTGCCAGTAAGCAACGCTCCTAACGAGGAGGTTAAAGCGCCGGAGGCCTTCAACGGGGCCGGAATGTTGGAGCAGTAGATTAAGTTTTATTGTTAGTTTTAAGGAAAGATGAAAAGAAATAATTATTTGAATACGCAGGCAAAATGTAAACAAACCACCTTAAAAACCAATGTACAAAAGCTTATCAGTTTCACTCAATCTTGAGCACAGCCGAGTTGTTGTGATCTAACTGATAAGCTTTTCAGTTCGTGGCTATGCGAAGTGTTATGCTGCTCTCGGGAGAACATGAACCGATCGAACCTCGAAGCAGCTGGCAGCAATAAACTTTGGAACCAACTTCGTTTCGTTTGTCTCGTTTTTTTTGGAAATTCCCCAGCCGCTAGTCGCAAGTCTTTTTTTTGTTTAAATTTTTAAAGTAATTTTTCCGGGAAAACTCTCCCGGATTTTCACACTGCATTTGCAACCATGGGGTTATTACCGACCAAACTGAAATCGCAAACACATTCGGTCAAACGTGGTCAGAGCAAGCAGATGATAATAACTTTTCACCCCAATTTCGCCTCAATAAACAACTCCTGAATACAGTCCCCACATACCAACCTTCGAACCCAGCCCTAGAAATTGAAACAAACATCTCTTATTTAGAATTCTTATCCGCACTGAACTCCCTAAGAGGCAACACCCCAGGCCTCGACCGAATTTCCTACTCCATGAAAAACCTTCCTATCCCTGTAAAACTTAGAATTGTCAACCACTTCAACAACATCCTCTCCTCCCACATCCCCCAATCACTTAAACTTAGCCTCGTCCTTCCAATAGTTAAACCTAACAAACTCAAAACTGAACTCTCCTCGTGTAGACCCATTTCCCTGAACCCGTGCCTATCTAAAGTTCTTGACAAAATTGTGGCCAAGAGGTTGTGGTGGTTCGACAGTCTACTCTACGTAGACCACCTAGCGTCCAGATCCATTGCTCTCAAAAAGCATCTGTCAATTCTATCGCTAGACTTTACTAAAGCCTTCGATAGAATTGGTGACACGATCTTACACCAGCTGCACGATTGGCACTTAGGCCCAAAAATCACCAACTTCGTCAAGAACTTTATGACTAACAGGAAAATCACCGTCAAGTCTGGGAAATGCTTATCAAGCATATTCCCACTTGACAATGGTATCCTACAAGGCTCACCCATCTCCGTAATCCTATTCCTAATTGCCTACAATTCCCTCTCCAACATCCTATCTATCCCTAAACAAATTAAGTTCTGCGCCTACGCTGACGACTTCCACCTCCTTATTCAACACAACAAGCGTAAAAATCCTACATCCAACCTCTCATCCCTTTTTAATCGCATTGACGAATGGTGCCTCCAATCGGGCTCCACTCTCTCTGTAGAAAAATGTCAACTCATCCACATCTGCCGCAAACATAACTGCAAGGCCAAGATAATCTCAGGCGGCACCATTATCCCTAGCACCAATACCCTCCAAATATTAGGCCTTACTATTAACCACAGATACAACTGGTCCTGTCACATCAACAAACTGAAATCTGACCTCACAAAACAACACTAATACAGCAACTCTTGTCCAAATAGTTAAATCCCTTATAGTGACCAAAATTGACTTCTGCCTCCCCATTTACGGTCGCGCACCTAAATCCCAGCTTAACCGCCTAAAATCTTCTCTTAACTCCGCAATTAGATCAGCACTGGGTGCATTCCGCTCTACGCCAACCAACAACTTTCTGGCTGAGTCGGGCATCAATACCATCGAACATAAAAGAGACTTCCTTACCGGCAAGCTCCCCAAAACCCTCTCCCTGTCTAAGGACACCCTCCTAAAAACTTTCACAAAACCCCAAAAACGAAACTATAGATATTTCAGTACCATAGACCTAAGCCTAAAAATCTGTAACTCCCATTCTATCCCAACCCTCCCAATAAAAAAGTTACCCTCCAAAAAATTCAACATGCTCAACATCATCAAAGCCACAGACACCTCCCTCTGCAAATATAATAAAAACACTACTCCCCCAATCGTTTTCCAACAACTCTTCCACTCCCTCAAATCATCCTATCCTAATCACAACTTCATCTACACAGATGGCTCCAAAGCCAATGGTATAACCACCTACAGCATTACAACCGAGCGCGAAACCATAAAAACAGGCCTCCTACCTATCTTCTCCTTAGTACTATCAAGCGAGATTATAGCCATCCAGGAAGCCTTAGTCATCTGCGCCAAGCTGCCAGGCAAGCATACCATCTGTACAGACGCCCTTTCCTCAGTTACCGCGATTCTTAACCACGATAACCATTCTCACTATCCAACCCTAGCTCGCAATATGATCACCCAACACTTCCCAAAAATCAAACTAATCTGGATCCCCAGTCACATGGGCATTGCAGGTGGACTTTGCAGCAAAACACGCTGCCAAATTCCCCTTAACCTACACCCCTAATCTAAGCCCCAGTGATACATCCCATTTCTTAAAATCTCTCCTACATGCAAAAAAAACACAACTGCGTACCTCCGTTTGGTACCAAGAAATACTCAAGTCATCAACGTTTACCCAGCCCCTCAAAAACTCCCTCCTAAACAGAAGAGAACAAATCATCATCACCCGCCTCAGACTAGGACACTCATTCTTAACAAACGCCCACTACCTCGACAGAACTAGGAACAACGTGTGCCCATTATGCAACATCTCCCAGATTGACATCCACCATATTATTTGCTCCTGCCCCTCCCTCTCCACGCAAAGATCCTTATTCCTTAATAATCCAGATCCAATCAGCACCATAGCTAACCCCACAGATACAAACTCTTTAAACATCCTCAAATTCCTAAACAACTCCCATATCACCTCCCAAATCTAACTAAATCAAAGTTTTTGTAAATAAAATGTAAATAGTAATCCATAGCTTGTATATACTCATAAGCCAAAAATTCACCAGCCATATTCTAACTTAAGCCGAGCTGAAGGCCCTAGCTGCTATTGCTCCTAGCCATTTGTTAGCTCTTAGTTTTAACTAATTGTTAGCCTTAGATAAATAAATAAAAATAAATGTTAGGAACTGCAGTAACGTCAGCAGACCCTTCATCATCACTGTGCAAGCTGTTGGTCGCTCAGTGGAAGATGTACTGAAAGCGTTCGACAAATATTCCATTTTGAAATATTAGAATGGAAACCAATAAAATTTAATAATATTATGTAGGCAGAGCCTACAGAACGATCAATGCTGTTGTTCCCAAATGTGGTGGAGCTGTGTTTAACCCAGATCATCTGGTCGAGTGCCGAGCCACGGAGGCAACATGTCATGTTTGTGAAAACTGGAACATTTTGGCTAGGTACTGTAAACAGCAGAAAAACGGGGTAGCAACAGACGATCGAAATCACAGTCGGACTTCAACAACATAACTATTGATAAGCAATCGAATGTGGAAGGCAAACAATCCTCTGGATCATCAATTAATTGGTTAGAGTAAGGTAAAAGTGAAAATTATCAAGCAAGTAGTCATATTTTAAGTTCCAGCTTAAAAATAAGTGAGTGCAGACGAAGCGGTGTACGATGGACGAAAACGTTTCAAATAAATGGAGTAACTTTTAAATTTAAGGTGGATACTAGAGCAGATGTAAACTGCATCCCAATAAATATAACAGAAATTTAGATGGAAAAGTTCTAGTTTTTTATTATAACAATGTCACAGTTAATGACTATGGATTGACTAGTATAAACTGTTTTGATTTAATTTAATTTTTGGTAGTTGACCCAAACTGTGTTTTTATACCCGTTACTCGTAGAGTAAAAGGGTATACTAGATTCGTTGAAAAGTATGTATCAGATAGAAGGAAGCGTTTCCGACCCTATAAAGTATATATATTCTTGATCAGGATCAATAGCAAAATAGATTGAGTCATGTCCGTCTGTCCGCCCGTCCGACCGTATGAACTGAGATCTCAGGAACTATAGGAGATAGGAAGTTGAGATTAAGCATGAAGATTTTTGAGGTCCATACGCAGCGGACAAATCACAAATCACGAACAAAATCACAAAATCGCGAAAACTAAAACCGCTAAAATCTCGGGAACTATTATTTCTAGAAAGTCAGTATGAATAATATTTGAATGCCAGCGCATCTTATAGTGGTACTATTATACGGCCCCACACACCCATACGCCCAAGCTCAATAGACGGTTCTCGCATTTTCTGGAAAACCGGATATCTCAGTAACTATAAGTAATAGAAAGTTCGGATTAAGCAGGTAGGTTTTAATGATTCCCCTTATGCGATTTTTTTTCCGATCAAGCCACGCCCCCAAACAACTTCCCACGACATTTCATCCGGCCACACCCACTCTAACGCCCACATACCGCGGAAAACTGTGATGTCTATAATATTATTATAAATACCTTCGTTTAACCCTGTATAACTAATTTCTGTCAATATCTATCGATTTACCAAAGATTTTTTAGTTCGGAAGATTTTTTTTATTTGTTATGAATGATAGAGAAGTTTACAAAACTAGACTAACTTAGTTGGGAAAGCGCTGGCAGCAAGGCCTTTGGCTTTTAAGGTTAATGATAATTAAATCTATAAGTTTAATTACATATTGTTCGTTGTATTTAGGCTACTTACTTGGTAAATTTTATTTGTGTACATTTAGGGCATTTTTAAATTTTGTGATAAAGGTTTGAAGTTTTTAAGAAAATAAAGATTTTTTTCTTAATTATCAGGGTTGAGATCGTTAAGGGGATTTAATGGGTTTGTATTTTTGAAGATAGATAGTTTAGTAGGGAGGAGTGATGGGCATGAATTTAATAGGTGGGGTATGGTATTGTCCTTGGCAGAAGGGGCAGGGTGAGGTTTGGTTTTGATTAAAGTAGTGCTTGTGTGTAAGTTTTGCGTGGCCTAGTCAAAGGCGTGTTATTTTAATTTGATCCAGTCTGCTCGATTTGGGATGAAGGATCTGCAGTAATTGTCGATGTTTGAATTGTCTTTGTTAATGTTTTTATACCATTGATTGCAGTGTTCTATGTTTAGCTTATTTCTTGTTGGGAATTCTAGTTTTAAGTGTCTGTTTATGTCTGTTAAATTAATGTTTGGGGTTTAAATAAGGGGCATATTGCATGTCGATTGTTGTTGTTTGTGTTTCTTATGGAGTCAATTGCTGAGAGAGAGTTAGAGCAGATCATGAACTTTCCCCTTGTGTTTTTGACTTGGTCGATCGCTACTAATATGGCTACTAATATGTTGTGTCTAT